ACCATACAATAGAGTTTATGGTATTTAAAATAAATCGTATTCTCCACAACGATAAAATAACAATAGAATGTATTGTTTCTACAATAGAATCAATGGTAAATGGGGGAATATACAATAGATTAAGGGGGTCGTTATGTATCTTAACCATACGAAAAATCACTTTTTCCCGAACAAACTTGAACCATTTACCATTAATTGTATTGTTGTTCTATTGTTGAAAACTCTTACTATATGTGACGTATTGTACATCTATTGTAATAACAATATGTTAAAACTTCGTGTACTATATACACACAATAAGATCGATTGTTGGCAATAGATTTAATTATAACTGTATTTTATTTTATGGTAATTGTATGGTTATTTTTTTTCCGGGAAGCGATTCGATGCGATAGCAATTGGCAAAGCGAAATGCAGCGGCAAGCGAAGCAACCTATGACATAGTGAAAGCGTTTTTGAAAACATTACAGTCGCGCGCGCAGTGCAAAATATTTGTTCAAATTTTCGGTGTCCATTTTTCCTCACTAGAATCAGTCCACTTGCGTTCGAAGGCGTCAAAACACAACACGAACAGCTCTGTCGCTTTGCTGAACGCTTTACACCTCTTCGCATCGCTTTCACTATGGCTGGTTTGGGCGATTCCCATAGAACGCTCATAGAGGGTGCTTTAACGCAAGCGCTCCGCTTATTGCCAACGAATCGAATCGCTTCGAATCGCTTCTACTATGTTGTCGGCCTAACGAAGGGCACTCAATTTTTCAAGCAACTCTTTCTCTTAAGCAAACCCCACACGCATCAATATATTGACGCGAAGGGGAATTATTGACAATAATATTGATGATGTGAATTCAGAAATATTGTCAATCTCGATATATTGACGTCAATATCGAATGTATTGACAATACGATTATTGTCAATAAAAGTAATCGTGTAGGGTCCACTTTAAGGATCGCATTTCAGCAGTGGCGTGTCGTCCATATGTGCACCTCGTGCACTGCACAGTCTCGAATTTTCAAAAAGTAAAATTTATATTTCATAAAATTTAAGAGACAAAAATTTAATGCTCAATCAAAACCATTTTTGTCACCCCTATTTGTTGGTTTCATATGGATAGTAACTGAATTGTCCACCACATCACTGGATAGTAGCTGAATTGCTTACCACATCGCTGCTCAACCTCCGTTTTACCCGCCACTGAAAGAAAAGTAAGTAAACACAGAAGCGATGCATAGCGAGCTTGTTTTCACGTACGGGTACGCTGGGATTTTACCACGTGCAGACAACTCATTTTGGGCTTCTATGGTGTGGCGAATATGCGACACTAAACACGCAAGGAAAATATGCCTTCGTTCTACCAAAGCCACCGCATGCTTAGTTCTCCCAGTCTGAGCACTTTTGCTAGTGCACCAGAAACGCTCGTATTTACAACCAGATCAGTTGTATATGTATTGAAGTACCGTAAGCATAATTGCCGATGTGTTAGTGTTTATTTTGTGCACTTCTATCTTTGCACAGTTTAAAGAGAAGAGAATAAATTGGCACGTATAGGTAACGTCGCATTTGAGTTTCTCTCTGAATTGATTGAATCTTGGAGAGCCGTCATTCGTTGTATACCTACATACACGCACACATCGAATTTTTAAATTTTTAAATTTTCTCACTACCTGGCTGCATTTTATTCAGTAGCCTCAGAGCATAAATAGGAATCATGGAACAGGATATTGTTGATGACCTCCTGAAAAGACCATTTGCCAGAAGATCCATGAAGGAAAAAATGCTTATTGCGAGAATGGACGTCCCACGGCCAAAGTTGGACAACTTGAAAACGACATGTAAAAGAAATGGTAAAATCATAACGCAGAACTTTGCCGAAAATGGACAAGTGGAAATTGTTGGTTGTGTCATGCTCGAGGAAATTGCGTGGGAAGTGGAGCATTTCGAGGAAATTGCAATTGGTGTCAACTCTACGCTACTGCTTAGGAAACGGTGAGTAACGATGACAAATATCATAAACATGAGACTTAAAAAGAAAATCAATGTTTCTATGCAAGAGTAAGCGAAACTGGTAGCAGAACTGTTTCCCATCATCATAGAACTGTTTCCCATCATCATCATTTCATTTATTTTTTATACAGGTACCCCCGTCGAAAGATTTGTATCCCATTTTTTATTCTGCATCAAAATTGGCTTCTACTGTTACAGACAAAATATAAATAAAATAGGTGCACAACTAGTGAATTTTCTCACGAGACGCCACTGCATTTCAGAGCTGATAGCGAGGAAGCGGAGAGGGAAACTAATAAGCTACGATCTCGATCACGCTTTCGATCGAGTGTCCCACTCATTTCTCTATGGAACGATGCGGCAGTTGGGGATAAACCCAGCCTTCGTCGGTTTACTGGCTCGTATTGCCGGACAATCTTCGTCTCGCCTGCTGGTCAACGGGCATCTCTCGCAGAGCTTCGCCATCGAACCAGGGGGACCCTTTGTCTATGATACTGATCGTCATCTACCTCCATCCGTTTCTGCAACAACTGGAGCGACTCGTCGGCCCCGATCTCGTGGTGGCTTACGCAGATGATGTGTCTGTTATAGTTACCAATACACGCGTGATTGAGCGCATCAATGACCTGTTCGGACGTTTTGAACGTGCCTCCGGCGCAAAGCTCAATAGATTGAAAACTGTTGCAATCAACGTCGGGCTCATTGATGGAGATCCACTGAATGTGCCATGGTTGCAAACAGTAGAAACGGTGAAGATTCTTGGCATTTATTTCACTAACTCAATCCGCGCAATGACTAAGATTAATTGGGATGCTCAAGTTACCAAATTTGCTCAACATTTGTGGCTGCACTCGATGAGGGGACTTAACCTTCAACAGAAGGTTATTTTGCTAAATACCTATATCACGGCAAGGATTTGGTACGTGGCATTAATCCTTCCACCATATTGTGTCCACACAGCGAAAATCACAGCAACCATGGGTTCCTTCTTGTGGCGCGGCGAACCGGCGCGGGTTCCTATGGAACAATTAGCACGAGACAAAGCATCTGGCGGACTAAAGTTGCAGCTACCGGCACTCAAATGCAAAGCGCTTCTGGTGAACCGTCACTTACAGGATAGTGGCTGCCTTCCCTATTATCAGTCCCTTCTGAACCAAGCAATTGCTTCTCCCGCAGATCTTCCTTGCCTTAAACTATTAGCCCAACAAATTCCACTTCTCCCCTCACTTATCCGAGAACACCGCTCCAGCGACCAAATTCATCGTGTTCTTCTGGAGCGGACAGATACACCACGGGTCGAAAGAAAATATCCTGGATCAAACTGGAGACGTATTTGGACGAATATCGGGTCGAAACAACTGTCATCAAGCCATCGGAGCAGCTTGTATATGCTGATCAACGAGAAGACGGAGCATAGAAGGTTGATGAAGATCATCCAACGGGCAGCCGGCGAGAGCTGCTTGCACTGCAACGCTACGGTTGAAACATTGCAGCACAAGTTCAGCGCCTGCCCCCGCGTGGCGCACGCATGGGCTTCCATACAGCAGAGGAATACGACGATACTCGGCGGCTAGCAAAGGCTGTCCATCGAGGATCTGCTTCGACCAGAACTTCTGAACATAGGGCTAAGAAAACGAAACGAAATTTTGAAAATCTTTGTATTGTACATCGACTCTGTTAACGATAGAATAGATGTTAGTGCCCTAAATTTTTACATCGATTGTGAACAATAATACGTGTAAATTAATGTTTTAACACAGAAACAAACAATACTTTTACAAAAAAAAAAAAAAAATCACCGACGGACATCGATTGCCATCCATTGACGGCAATCGAATGTGCAGGAAGGCAGCTTCCAGACCTGCGTAGGATATCGCACCCATTGGTGCCGTGCTATGGTTATTCGGTGCGCTCCGTGCGGCTCCGTGCCAGGGTCCGGTGCCAGACAGAATGCAGTGTTTCTTCTTATTTTTTTTTCCACTATCGCAGTCTGCTAATTTTTTTCGTTCCTTTTCTGATTGACCTTTCCGGCGATACTGTACCTCTTTACTCCTATGAGAAAACCCCACAAACAACTGTCATTATGTGCGTGAAGCATGGCGGGCTGTTCCGTACTCTGTCGCTCGAATGAAAAATCTCAAAGGGGCTGTTCATTAACTACGTATACAGTTTTTTTTGTGATTCTTGACCCCACTGAAATTTTAAAATTTGTATGGAACGTGGACAATTGCCAACACCCCCCCCCCCCCCCCCACCAATGTCTACGTAGTTTATGAACAGCACCTAAGGAACTATCACTCTGTGAAAAGCTAATGCCGTCAATGCGAATTAATGCAACAGCGATTTTCACCATGTAGCATTAATGCGGCAAATATTATTGCCTTAAAACCATAGTTTTTTTTCCCGCAAAGGTCAATTAAAAGTTAATTTTGTTGTTCTTTTGTTGAATTTCTCTGCTGGTATCATGTTCGGCGGTCACCAGTGAGCCCAAATACACGAACTTATTGACTACCTCGATTTCGTCACCGTTAATCTGAACTCGGGGTGGGATGCTTTGTCTTCCCTATAGAAACTCTTCCTTTAATGTATTTTGTCTTTGATGCGTTGATGGCAAGTCCAATCCGCCTAGCTTCAGCATTCACTTTGATGTACGTTTCCGCCATCGTCTCAAAGTTCCGTACCATGATGTCGATGTCATTGGCAAAATACTCTATACAAAAAAGGCACCTTGTTTAATTCCCATCCTTGACCATTGTTGTGCATCTAGTGCAGGATGCGGATCGTAAACCATATCAGCCGTTATTCACCCATGTGCGGAGATCAACTAGCCTTAATAAGAATAAATAAAAAAGTTATTCACCCCTATTCTGTGTTCCGTTCGAAACGGAATAGAAGAATAGGGGTGATGTGATTATCAAGCGTGGAAAGTTGTCCATGCCTCTTAGGAAACCAATGGCAAACAAGTAATCTGAACCTTCAATTAAATTCTTCCACAGAAAAGGTCAAAGTGAACATTGACCTGGCCCAGGAACCGGTTAAGGTTGAGGTCATCAAGGGCCACAAGACACTATTTGTGCCACCGGCTCAGAAGTCATCGAATGTGTACGCCAAAATCAAAAACTGCAACCCGGATGAGGTCGACTTGGCCACGCAAAAGAAAATCATCAAGCTGCAAGGTGACGAGGATACGTTCGAAGAGATTGGTGAGTGTTATTTTATTATTATTGTTTCTGTATATTCTCGCTGCTGCCTGATAACCGCGATTGCTACTTACCTTTAACGAGTGTAATCAAAGGGAAGCATGAACTTGAACCATGCAATGAATGTCATCTGGCAGATAGTGGGCAATGTTTTTATGCGGCATCATTTTTTTTTCAGATATCAACGGAATTGAAAAGCTTGACATAGTTGTAGTCGGTTCATGCGCAGTTTCCAGGCAGGGTCACCGTATCGGCAAGGGTAACGGTTACGTCGATTTGGACGTCGGTATTCTGACGTACTTGGGAGTGATCACCAAGGACACACTGATCGTGACCACCGTACACGATGTTCAGGTGTACGATACACTGCCGGAGCACTTGTTCCAGAGCTACGATCTGCCACTGGACTTGATTGTTACGCCGACCGAAGTTATTCGTGTGAGCAAGCGTCTGCCTCGTCCGGAAGGCATCGAGTGGAAACTGCTATCATCACGTCGGTTGGAAATCGTTCCGGTGCTGAAGTGCATCAAGGAACGGGAAGAAAAGTGAGTTGGTGTTGGTTTGTCATGAAGAAGTGGTTTTTAAATAATTTGAATTCGTTTTTTGAATAGATCCGGTGCGGTGATCGAGTTGAAGTCGGAGGATACCGACGTGGAAAGTTACCAACAGAAATCCCGTCAGAATAGACGTTCGTTCCGGCGCAATCAGTCGGGTCAACGACGACGTCGGCGATCCGACCGACGGGTCAGCGAGAAGCAGCAGAATGGAGATGGTGAAAGTCACGACGAAGAGGGGGCAGAGAAAACCGATGGTGAAGTCGGAGAAGGTGGTAAGCAGGGAAGTGGTCGCCCACCGCGAAGGAATCGTTTCCGCAGAGGACCTCGTCGTTCTACCAATAAGGATGAGTCCGCAGCAGAAAAGTCCGAAGGTGAAGAGAAGGGTGGTGCCGATAAGGAAGCTGGTGACGGTGATGGTAAGAAGGGTGGTCGCGATCGTAGACGCAGGGACAGGAATTCGAAGGGCGACAGGAAGGGTGGACGAGTTGAACGCGACTTGTGCATCCGGGTTACGAACATTGCTCGTACGATGAGAATCAAAGAACTGAAGCAAGAGCTACGCACCCGGGAATGCAATCCAATCTTCATCACCTGGAATGGTTACCACGGAAAGTGCTATCTGCATTTCCCCAAGAAGCCAGATCAGACCGATGATGATGCTGGTACGGAATTACTGAAGCAATTGGAGGACCTCACTCTGACAGTGACACCACGGGAGAAGGAGGGAGGCGGCGAACCGAAACAGGTGACATTGAAGTGCGAGATTATGAAGCGAAAGGAAAGTGGCGGTGGAGACGCGGAAACCGCCACCAACGGAACCGTTTTGGAGGGAAGTCGAATCGAAACGACCGACGTGACTGCTGTCTAAGCGACACCAGGAGCATCATTCACCAAAACAAAACATGTGAAACGCGCGAGCAGAGTGCAAAATATCGGAGAGAACCGACTCTTGTGGAGGTGCATCCCAATAGCGGTATTCGTCGTAGCCAACGTTGTCCAATCTCTTTGTCGTCCAGTTCCCTTAACAGATGTTAGATGTTTTCAAGATGATTATGATTATTGGAAGGAGAAAATCTGCTACCGCCACCGCTTTTTTCTTGTGGGAAGCGATTGCTTACAATTGAGTTCTTATCCAGTTCGAAAAACGGTATACTATCGTTGCTGCACTTTCCTGCCTTTCTGAAGCCCCGTCCCCCAAACCGGTCGGGCCTGGAAGTTGCGCCGTAGGAAACAACGCAGATGCGTCAGTTACAGATGCTAATTAATATATCTTCCCCTCCCTCCGAATTAAAAAAAAAAAACAAGCAAAAAACGAACACAACGCGCTCGTTGCAAAGCTTTCGCAGGACTTTTGCTTTTCAACTGACGAAGCGTTTTCTCACATGCTGGAGGAGAAGCAACACAAGGATATGTTGTTATCAATTATTATTTTTCTTTGTTACTAACCCTTAAGAGACAGACCAAGAGATTACTTATTAATATTGTGAATTGATAAAGGCCTTCACCTTCCAATATCTTAGACGCGAGGAATTTCCATTAGTTCGTGCAAAAGTTGTACGTAGGAGAAAAGCGAAAGCCGCGGTACGTCGAAATCCGATTTTTGCCTTTTTGAGCGACAGAACGATTAAGAAGAACAGAAACAAACGATCGTAATTTAATGAGGAATGTATGTGCGTAAGAAGCGAGATCACTTTACTATGGGAAACAAACCAATGACGAAGAAACGATGGAAAAACAAGCAATTCTTTTTCCTGCTAGAGATAAAAAAAGCAAGTTGAAAACGTATTTGAATTATGTAATATTGAAAAACAAACATTGTATGCTGTACTGTTAACGAATGGACAATTTTGAAGGGATTAACAATTGAAGTACATAATATATTTAATCGCTGCTAAAACAAACTGGAAACAGAATGAATGAACTAGAATTGTAGTAGATGAGTTGAAGCAATGAAATCAACATTTTTTTGTATGGACACATTATGTATGCAAATACAACACTGAACATGAATAAAACCAGTCGTTTGTGCATATTTAAAGAGAAGAGATTAAGATGTGCATGCCTATTTATATAATATTCATTTATGATGTTGATGGAAAAGAGAATTTTCTTCTTTGCTTCTAAATATTATGGATAAAAAAAAACGAAACGTTGATTCGCGAACGAGAGAAAGCGCGCAATGGTCGTGTTTTGTGTACTCAGAAATTTCGATTTTGGTGTTTGACATGATAATTATTATTTTGACACTCCGAAACACACAACCACAAATTGATTAAAAACCAAAAAAAAAAAAAAGAATAATGGTTTGTTAAAGGAAAACCGTGAATCACATACGTTCATGTCCTAAAACGGTAGATGTAGATTGTGAGCCACGTGTAAACGGAACAGCATAGAGCAAGCTGGAGGCGCAAAGTTTGAAACTCTGATCAAATGGAGATGAATTTTTTGAGCACAGAATAAAACATGAAAGCTTACCTTTTTCCAGTGAATCAACTTGTTGCATGAAGAAAAAAAGAGGCGATATAAAATTCAAGGTAAAATAGGAAACACAAGAATAAAATCTAACAATTAGTTTATGGTTGGGAATTAAGTGAGGAAATCGGGGCAGATCGGTGCGCGCTTTGCTGTATAAGAAATATTAGAGGAAAATAGATGAAACATAATTTAGCAAGGACAAAACCAAGGTCATCTATTTTCCTAAACCGATCTAGCCTCTTAGGTTCTAGGATTAAGAAGCAGGATTCGATCTAAGAGACAAAAACAAGATTGAGCATATGTTTATGAAAATTTCCGGAATTGGACCTTCTGTCCGTGCGAATGATGAAGCTAACACTGGACAATGCTCGATCTTTCTTGTCTCATCACGTTTATCTAAGTGCATATATTTAAGACGATAGTAGATCGAATCCCGGCATCCATTTTACCTACTAATTATATTCACCTTAACATTCAAAACCACGCTGTCAGAACGATTGTTTTTCGTCTCTTCCTATCAAGTTTGTAGCAACCAAAATTGGGATCTTTAACAAGCTGATTGTTGTTGATAAATCTGTTTCACTACTTTTCAAAAGCTTCATATGAATAATTTCCTCTGCGGTTTTTGAAAAGTGTTGTTGCATTTCACGTCGATGGAAAACAACGCAACGGCAGTTCGTATAACCCTTCAAACACTTATTGATATTTCAGAGCAAAAACGCTAATTAACGGTTTTCTTCACTACAAGAATAATAGGAGGTAAGAGTAAGGAAAAAATTCAACTAAAAAAGCTACAACAACGATAAAAGAGGTCATCAGAGTGCAAAAGTTCATAGAATTGCGCTAAGCACTCTCACATACATACACACACGAAACACAAATAAAGCATGTTAGATCAAGCAAAGGAAGTACACGATAATAACGGTTAAAATGTAGGTTTAAAAACTTATTTACATCTCACAGCAAATGTAAGGCAAGAGGACAAACCGAAAGGGAAATTTTCCACGAAAATGCTAAGGTCGAGAAATCGCCGCCTCAGTGGATATGTATGTTCGCATTGACCGTGTGAAAACTTCCCTTCCGCTGCTTCCCGTGTAAGAATAAGGTTTATTGAATGTTTACGTTTTCTTTTAACAAAAACAAAATACAAACAAACGATTTCATTTTTAGGATTCCCCATACTAATAATACCAGACAGAACTAAATTTTACCCATGGAAGCAAAAGCGTAATTGGTATACACGTTTAAAGTAGGATCTTAGGAATTAACCAGAAGACCACACGATTTGTTTTTTTTTTCTTTCGATTTTTTTTTTTATAATACTACCCCGTAATGAAATAGAGAATTAATTTTCACCCACAAATAAAACCATGCATCTATTTAGTATCTTAGGTACATATTTCGGTACAAGCGCAAACTACGCGAACGGTGCAGAAGCAGCCACTGTGCAAGAAGAAAAAAAACACAAATGAATATTATTTCGTGGACAAGAAAAATTAGGCCGTAAAAGATGGTTCAAAGGCGAGAAAGAGGAGAAATGTTGACAAAATCACACTAGATTCCGGTTTGATAGCAACTTCTTTCAATACTGTTTATTCCGATAGAAACAAAACGGAACTGCAAAGCATAATACCTGCTGTGAAGAAGCAGTGAAGACAGGAAAAAGAATTAAAGAGTATAAAAAAGTAATTTTCCAAATCCCGAGGAAACGAAAACCGAGAAGCACATTCGGAAAGAAGAAGGCTTGTCGACGACAGACAACACACACGTGGAAAAAGAATAGATATTGGAAGCTCTTGAGTGAGACAGAGCGAACGAAAAAACAAACGAACTCACAATACAGAACAACACACAAAACAAAACAAAAACAAAGTAAATCAACGCCCAGGGATTAAACGTAAAACGAAAGAAGCAACCAACCAACCAACACTCAAACAACCTCTATTATGCAATGAGTAGACGTTTAAAGATTATCAAATTCAAACCAGATCACCATTTGTAAGAACTTGAACAATAACAACTTTTTTGAATAAAACATTTTACGCCTAACGTTACACACGGTAATCGCAAGGCACCCAATGATTACTACAAAGTAAAAATTTTCGAGGGAAACTGGAACTACACATTTATGAGCAATTGCAACTACAAAAAATGAGTAGTAAGTATTCATTTATGAGTAACGAATACTCATAAATGGGTAAACATTTTAATCATTTAGAAGCGCGTTTAGCAGGGTAGTCCCAATTTACCTCGAAAATACATACTTTATAGTCAACATTTAGTCATTGAGTATTTTGCTGTTATCGTGTAGTGTTCTATTAACTACGATGAATGTCCGAAATTATACAATCCTGGATTCCGATTTAATCAATTTGATACTTCCGCCTTTCTACTCGAAACAAATGACGAAACCGACTGAGTTTTCAAGGTGCTGACGGAAATGCTGACAAATTGGCCACATAACGAAGTTCTTTCCAAATAATAAATGTAGCTACTAACCAGAAGGCCGATGCGTTTTATACGGTGCTATCGACAATTCAATATCAAGAAAAGAATCATTGATAACTTAGGAGCAACTATAGTGCAAACGGTATACATAGTTGCAGATGCCAACATGGCCGCTTTGTATCCAGTGTGCCAGGAGCAAGGCGGTTACGGAGCATGAGATTTGATCAAATTATTCGCAGTTCTACTTGTCCAACGCTCCCAGCTGGGTGAGGGATAGAGGATGACACACACACATTTGTTCAGTTACGGATACTGATTTGAAAATAATCAATCATGAGACCTTATAGTGATTAATGTATTATAAGTCAATGCTACGTGAAATCATACATAGATTTTTTCCATCGCACTTTTCACGTAAGAGTTACGTGATTCATACATGGAAGCACTCGTTTCAGTGAGCGAGATGGTTACTGGATTATCACGTAGAAGCTACGTGATTCTGTCGATGGAATTTATAATCGTCTCCTATGATTTTAATTTCGTTGTAAATAAAATGTATCATTGATTTCGCATTACAAATGATTCTATAGTATTCATTGATTCCAATACATCTTTATTACGGTCAATATATACACAGGGGGAACATAAATTCGAACGGGAAAAGTAACGGAAACTTGGATACAACCATATAATGTAAGGGAGTTTAACTCGCATTCATGCTCATGTTAAACAAACTTAAAAGTTATTCTATACATAATTTGTTTAGTTATCTATATCATACTTACAACACGAAATTGTTACACGCAAATAAATAGGTAACAAAATAATCTAGATTTTCACTGGTATCTAAACATGTACATTGCAATGGCACCATATTGTGTAGCATTATGAGTGAGTCACTCATTTATTTTTTCATATGTGACAATCACATAGGATTTAGGTGAAATGCACATAGAATTTGTGTATGTGCAAATCACGTACGTTTCATTTAAAAATCAACCGACTTCGAAGGAAATTTCCGTTGATGCATATCTGGTATCACGTAGACTTTACTTGTGTCACGTAAAATTGAGAGAAGCGGAAATAGAGTGACTCTATGTGATTTTTCACGTAACAATAACGTGTGAATTATTTTGAGTGTAGATAATATCAATAATAACGATGACTTAGTTGGGCCTATTCTGCGCGGCGTGTGAGGTGAGGTGACAGTGAAGTGACAAATCCGTAGTGATTTGAGATTTGGGCGTAATTGCTTTTGTAAACAAACGCTTCATTTGACGATTTCTCGCGAATAAAAGTTCAACCTAGAAAATTAACAACACAAACAGGTAAAGGAATGATTCATCCAGCATGTTGTTTAATTTGATCCTGAGATTGAGCTTTTATTCGCGAGAAATCGACGACTGACGTGTTTGTTTACAAAAGCAATTACGCCCAAATCTCGAAGTTCTCCGGAATTGTCACCTCGGGTAAGGTGACTCTCCAATTGATTTGCACGGAGAGTAGAGTGGGTCATCGTTATATGGAAAATCGCAAACTTTACCCCATCAATCGAGAACAACCCTTTTTTGGTTCCATTTGGAGTCCCAAACAACTATGCAAAATTTGGGGACGATTGTTTGTAACTCGGCTTTCCGCATTGCGTTTGCAGGGCTGTTACAACAGGCGCGGATTTCGCGATTTTCGCGGATTTGTCGCGGATTTGAACTTTCAGTCGTGAAAATCGCGGGAACATTAAATGATGTCGCGAAAATCGCGAAGGGACTGATGTGCTGTCACAAAAATTGTGGAATTCATTGTAACCTTTCCGTCCCGGATTATTTTGCTGTCATTAATTTTGTTGTTCATTTGGCTCTCAATTTTTTACCGGTTCAAACCAAACACCCTGCAAATAATCTAGAAATGATCTCAATTCCATAAGTCACACCGGATTTACACGGAAATTCCGTTAGGTCTGTCCAATGAGAGACAATTTTATTTATTCGATGTCAAATCATAAATGAATCGTATATATGCGGGTAATTACCATGTATACCGGATATTATAGGTTCTCCAAATCGTCCTGGAGTTCAGTTTATTTGTTCAACTATATCAACCAAGACTGCAATAATGTCTGTAGTATCGAAATATGTCCTAACAGATTCAAAGTGTCTATGTGGATTGTGCCCGACCTATTGCTACGTATACAAGATGTTATAGGTTCTGAAATCATTCTGGAAATCAGATTATGTTTCTACTAAATCACCCAAGCCTAATTCAATATCTGTAGTATCGAAATACACTGAAGCCTTTTTTTACGCGGTTTTTTTTTACACGGTTTTTCGCGATTTACACGGTACGTTTTTAACGATTTCTCGACAACGATACAACCTATATCGACTTGATTCCAGTCACATTATCCGTTTCAAGCTAGACACTTTGAAACTGATTGGACATTTTTCGATACTACAGACATTATTGCAGTTTTGGTTGATCTAGTAGAAAAAATCAAATTTGTAAAATCTATAATTTTCAGTACACGTTTTAAGTATTATTCAATAGAAACATTCATAACTAGGGGGCGACCCCGGCGTACTGGTTAACATCCATACCTCTCACGTCAAAGTCACGAGTTCAAATCTTACTCCCGGACAAGTCACGAATGACCAAGAGTGTTAAAGTGACCATAATAATAATAAAAAAAAACATTCATAAATAACTGATTTTTTTTTCAAAGGATACAAACGATACTCCTTTAGCTCAGTCGGGAAAGGCGCAGCTACAAAGCGAGGCCATGCTGGAGGCGACTGAGTTCGATTCCCGTTCGGTCTATTAATTTTTCGGGTTGGCAAATTTCTCTACTTCCTTGGGCATAGAATGGTACAGGCATAGAAAGCTCTCAAATCAATGTGAAGGTACTTCAAAGAACACTAAGTTCAGAGCAGGCAAAATCTAATGTGCTATATGCAATAAGCTTGAAATGCCATGTAGTAGTATACAAATGGTATTTTTAGGTAATGAAAACAGTTTTTTTTTTGTCGCGGATTAGTATTTGAAGTCGCGGATTTCTTTTGAGAAATCGCGGATCAAATTTAGAAAATATTGTAACAGCCCTGCGTTTGAAATTAGTATGGGAAAACCAACATTTTTGCATTTTTATTCATATAAACCACAGTTTTGTATGAACCGTGCAACTAAGTATGTACACATATATTCGATGAAGTGCCTAACAACTTTGCCAACGGAAGTACGGTGCTAGAATGTATCTAAAAAAAGTTATAACAATTCAAATATTTATGGTTTGAATTAAACACCAAAAATCCCTTTTTCTGCCAACACTGCCGGTGGAACAATGGGAGTCAGATTCCAAACTGAAATAACTTCGGAGTTATCGATTATGTATGTTCAGGATGAATTATTCAAAAACATTTGCTCAATCTCATAAGTGTAGTTAAAGACCGGAAGGGGGGGGCTTACTACATCAGTGCCAACATTTCAAAGGGGCGTAATTGCATTTGTAAACAATGGCTTTAGCCGTCGATTTATCGCGAATAAAAGCTCACTCATGAAAAATAATGACACCAGCAGGTAGAGGAATGTTTCCTCTACCAGCTAGCATTGTAATTTTAAAGAGGTAAGATTTTATTCGCGAGAAATTGACGGCTAAAATAATTGTTTACAAAAGCAATTACGCCCCTTTGAAATGTTGGCACTGATATGCAGTTTTCTAAACAAAAATTGTTGTAGTGTTAATATTTAAAATCAACTTGTCCGTTCATTTGTTAGTGAGGAGATGTTGTTTGAATTATTAGTCCAGCTCAGTGTTGGGAAAATATCAAACAATCAAATCTCACCAACGCCCAAGATCACGCTTGATTTTCGTAAACAAAAATCAACAAGCAAACAACTGTGGTTGATTTTGCAAGCTGTGATATCGCAGCTCAGAATATCAAGCTAACAAAACTCACCAACTGCAAATCTCACCAAACTGTGGTGAGATTGAGTTTAATGATTTTTGCTTTACACCCAAATGCAACCGAAACTTCCATAACGGCTTGCAGCAGTCCCTTCGGGTCTGCCATCGGTGAAGATTAAAAAGAGATAGCAAACTATGCTTTCTCTTTCTAAGAAAATTATGTGCAATGGAATCATTTTTGTGTCGAGTCAACTCTCAGCTTGATGTTTGCACGTTGTAAATAGTCTCGCAATATCAAAGGAGCTTGTAAAATCAATATCAAGCATGATATTTTGTTCCAATATCACGCGTGATATTGCCAGCCCATGAGAGCGGAAAAATATCAATTGATTTCTGATTTTGCCAACACTGGTCCAGCTGCTATATTATTTCTATATAAAGCTTTTATTTGAAATATTAAACTGCCATTCGGGCCACCCGCATATAGAAAACACAGAAGTAGTCGTACGTCAAAACCCAAAACCAGTACACGGCGAATGAGAACGACTCAAATTTGAGTTTAGTTCACTCATAATCGCCAAAAGTGCAGGAGCTCAGCGATGAGTTAATTTGCCTCATGTTTTCCCAGGTTTTTCCAGGGAAAAATTCCCGAATTTGAGAAAAGTAAAGATTGGATTCACTCAGTCTATTGGTACTACTCCGAGACTGAATAAAATTTTCGTCAATTTCCTCATTTTCCGGCAGATTTTTTAGGTTTTCCACAGGAAACCATGGGACAAATTTTACTCATCGCTGAGTTCCTGCACTTTTGGCGATTATGAGTGAACTAAACTCAAATTTGAGTCGTTCTCATTCGCCGTGTAGAAAACGGAAACTGTCTTCACCAGTTTCGTCTCAGCCACCGGTACATACGGATTTCGCTTGTTGGGCTAACTTTAAGTGGGCTACGTTTCAGTTGGGCTCCCAAGTCAAATGTCATTTCTAACAGTCCTGATTCCTTTTCGAAATTTCGACCGGCTTCATGCAAGAACCGGCAAACGAGTGGAGTAATACAGATTATTTCAATGCGATACAACGAGTTGCTTCCTTGATGGTTGTCAACGATATGGCTCGCTTTATAACTGCTGTTATGAGATTGAGCAAATGTTTTTGAATAACCCATCCGAACAACTCGAGAGATGGGAAACTCCGAAGTTATTTTAGTCTTTATCTTTACTTTCGTTGATATAAGTGAGGGGCGGAAAGGATACAGTAACCCCCACCCCCCCCCCCCCCCATATCTAACTACGCCTATTAAATGGAGCACATGTTTTTGAATACATCTGAACATACCAACTTGACAAGATCAGAAACACCTGATTTATTGCAGTTTGAAGCTTTACTTCCGGTTAAATGAGTGAGGGGACAGGGGGTATAGTTAGCCCCCCTCATCTCTTAATGTTCGAGATTGAAAAATTGTTTTTTAATAATTCATCTGAACATACCAAATCGATAAGATAAGAAACTTCGAAGATATTTCAGCTTGGAGTCTGACTTTCATTGGTACACCGGCAGTGTTGGCAGAAAAAGGGATTTTTGGCATTTAATTCGAACCATTGATCTTTGAACAGCTATAACTTTTTTTAGATACATTCACCATACATCCTTAAGCAAAGTTGTTAGGCATTTCCTGGGCTATACTTTAACGTATTTAGATAAGTGGTTTGTGTGTGGTCCCTAGTAATAAAGATGCAAAAAAGTAGGTTTTCCCATACTAATTTCCATACAAATTTCAAACGCATTTCGGAAAGCCGGGCTACAACCAATCGTCCCTAAATTTTGCACAGTTATTTGGGACCCCAAATGAAACCAAAAAAAAACCAAAAGAGTACCAGAGCTGATCCAAAAAGTTGAGCACGTTATTTCGGGACCTTCGAGTCTTAGAGTTACCTCGATGTTATAACTCTCCAGTCTGTACAGCGTTTTAGAGTTACCTCTATGCTACTACCATAGAGGTAACTCTAAGACCAGAAGCTCCCGAAGAAACGAGCTCAACTTTTTGGCTCAGCTCTGGTACCAACAATCAATACGAAACTAACGATTTTAAATTGGCTCACCACTTTAGTAGCCTATTGGTCCCAAGCAAACGATTAACGTACCCTATTCTAGTCGAAATTCTAGTACTACGCAATGTTTGTTTTGATTCGCTATGAAAGTTTGACAGATAAAATGAGGGGTTATTGGTTTTTCCTATATTTCGAGGGGTGATTCGACAAGCTTGAGACCGAAGATAGTACCAGAGGTGAGCCAAAAAGTTGAGCACGTTTCTTCGGGACCTACTTGTCTTAGAGTTACCTCTATGCTGGTACTATCTTCGGTCCCAAGCTAATCGATGCACCCCTCGAAACATAGGAAAATCCACGAACCCCTCATTTTATCTGTCAAACTTTCATAGTGAATCAAAACAAACATAGAGTAGTACTAGAATTTCGACTAGAATAGGGTACGCTTATATATGTAATTGGGACCAATAGGCTAGTCAAGTAGTGAGCCAATTTAAAATCGTTAATTTCCACCGGTTGGTACTAGTGTGTTGTGATACTTCCTTCAACGAAAACTAATTTTCTTGCATTGTCATGGTCATCTGGTCTATAGTACCTCGCGTGATGAACAACTATGGTAGACAATTAGGCCTATTCTAAGCGGCGTGTGAGGTGAGGTGATAGATGGTTAAATGACACACGCTGCGCAGAATAGGCCTATATGTTTCAATGTTTTCAAATCACTTGCAATTACAGTCAACTCTCTCTAACTAGATATTAAAGGGAAGGGACCATCTAGTTAGCGAGAATATCGAGTTACAGAGGTAAATTTTATAATTTTGTATGGGAAAATTAGTCGAGCCATCGAGTTAGGGAGAACATGGAAATAGAAAGAGATCGAGTAAAGGAGAATTGACTCTATTGCATATAAAAAGATGTCTAGACGTGAATAGATTTATTATTGTTTTTATTAAAGAGGATTCAGCCTAAGGCTGGTTGATAAATGTGAAATACCTATTCTGAGATGTTTCATGAAAATCTTGGAAACTAAATGTTAAAAAGTATCTTCTTCAAACATATATTATACACTTAAAAAGATATGTTACAATAACTGTATATATTAGTCACTAACGACATAAAATAAAATTTAAAAATTATCACGTATCTAAAATATTCTGAACAATTTTTCATCACATATACATTTCTGACGCAGACTACACTCTATCCAATCTACTTTTAGTACGTTCACATTCAGGTTCTGCTTGACAAGACTATCTAGCCACTGTTGCAAATGTCCCTTATCTAGAGCTTTATTTTCGACTACAAACACTGTCGTGGCACCTTTAGTTGACCTTTCAGTAAGCCACTGTCCTCCTTCTCGGACAAACTTCAACATTTTAAATTTAGCTTTATACAGTTCAATTTCCTTCTTCAAATTGTCCACGTATAACCACGCTACGAGTCCTTGAAATATCCTGAAACCGGAATTCTTACCCAAAAGTTCCGCTTGACCTATTTTTAACTCCCCTGCCGAAAGCTGCATGTTGTTGACCGTCACCTGCTTTAAAAGTAGTCGCATTTCTTCCGCACCGGAAATCTTCATCGTTAAGGAATCTCCAAAACGATCGAACCTGTCAGCCATCTCCTCGCGCAGCAAGGCTGTAGTGGCGAGCATGTCATTGGGCTTGAAGTCCAACAGCTTATCTTTTTTCTCAGAACCTCCTAGGGCACGAAGAAGCCACTCCACGGTAGCAACGTTCTGTTTCCTGCTTTCAATGATCCGATTGACCAGAAAAGTATGATCCCCAGCGATTGTAACGTAAGTCTTCGGTCCGGGATTTTTAACTACCCGTCCTCCGTGGCGACGGATCATGGTTTCCAGATCTCCAGTAGGAGGTAGACCTTTGGCGGAGCTTAAGACACAGAAGTCCAGACCCGAACAAACATCATCGATGAGGTCTAGTGCTTCTTCTTCGATCTGCTGCACGCTGGTGTGTAACTGTAGTCTGGTCGAACGAACTCGCCCAAGTGGGGACATTTTTTTTCGTTTTTGTCCTGGATGGGTCGATTCATGCTCCGGAACAAGATCTTTCACGGTCACGTGTCGCATCGCTAACTTTGCCACTTTGGTGTTGGAAGAGCATAGTTGATCAAACTCATCCCTGGTGCAGACGTCCAGATAGCCTTTGTCGCTACGTATCGCGGTAATACGAGGAAATCGAATCGTGTAGGGCGACGCAAAAGAAGAGGTTTGAACTAGTTCGGAACCTTTCAGTTGTAGAACAATTGAATGCTTGGGAGGTATCCATACATCCGGTGGTGTTTGACCCCACCGAAGTTCAGGAGGTTCTTCTGTAACGGTAGAACGACTTTCCTTCCTAGCGACGACATCTCGCCAATGCGGTCGAAGTGAGCTGTTCAGCTGCTTCCATTGGTCGTTGGAGAGACCAATTCCGACTTTGGTGACTGATAGGAATCTGAGGTTTTCTTTATCACGATTGTCCAGCACACCGACTAGGAAAGTGGTTATGAAGGTACGTTTGAAGTTGTAAAAGCCTCCGATGATCAAAAGGTCGAAATCCGAAACCATATTGTCAATATAGTCCGGTTTTATTTTGTACCACCCAGCGTTGCGCTCGTTGGGACTATACACAGAGTCCTCTTTTTTAATGACGACACCTTCCTGACATGCATCTATTGCTTGATTCAAAAGTTCTACCAGGTGTTCGCTATCTTTCACTTTAACCCGGTGGCAGGTCGCTAGAAATCCTACCTTCTCTTTGATAATCGTTCCTAACAAGCGAATTCTTTCTGCGTAAGGCACCATAATCAAACTTTTGCCATTGAGAAATAGTACATCATAGGCACAGAAGCATGGTCTGAGCGTTGGATTATCAGCCTTGATTGCCTTGACGTCTGTGTTTTCGCTTTTATCCCGATAGACCAATTCGCTTTTGTCGAATACCATCATTTCTCCGTCTAAAATTACGCTGTTCACATTCACAGCTAACAAATTCGACAAATAAGGTGTTAACGTTGACCCGTGTTGGTTCGAATTTTCCCCAAAAATACGACTGTATTCATAGCTGTTTCGGGAGAAGTACTTATAGACCTGGCCTTCCTTATGGATCTGGAACCTTTCTCCGTCCATTTTGGTTTCTAGCCAGAACTCATCTTTCTTTAGCATACCGTCGACCAGTTTCAAATCGACCCGTTGACATAGCATCGGTTTTACGGGGTTGAAGAGTCGTACTGCCATCCCAACGCCCGGTTCTCCAACGTCCTCCAATCCTTCGCCACTTTCAACCGCCTCGCAAACCTTGGACAAATGACTGAACCTATCGAACAGCGCACTCGCTTTGGGGTGATACAAACCCAGCAGCTTCTGTTGACTCATTCCCAACCTCAGGTTTTTCAGTATAATCCTAATCAGCCATTTTTGGTCCAGCTGGGTCATTCCCTGCACCATCTCAATCAAGTCGTCTTGAGTTTTGCTACGTTTTCCATTCTGGTAGTGTTGTCCCATGGCATCCAGGCGTTGATTCACGTCCCACACGGTCATGCTGCATTCCTCGGGGCAGCGGCCACGCATTAGTGTGAATATACGATCGGCAAAGTCGCCACTGCCACCGTTGCTACCAGTGCCGGAATCATCGAAACCGGAAAGCTTGCGGGCTTCAATGCTCGTGTCACTGATGCCGAGGATTTTGATGTACAGGTCACGCAGGGTTTTCACTCGGATGCCGTAGGAGTCTCGTTCGCGATCTGCAGCCGGGAGCAATAGTCGGAGGATCGGAAAGATGCTGGTTTTCTGGAAGGTTAATTTGCCAAATAAAAAATAAGAAGAGAATAAACTAAACCCGAAAATGGCCTTACCGTACTCGTCCCATACTTTAGATGGTATTCCCGCCGAAATTGATCGAACGAACTAAAGTAACGTCGCAGAATATCATCCTTCTTGCTAGTCGACGTTCCGGCTCCCTTTAATTTCTCCAAAATTGCACTTATTTCACTAAATTTGACATGTTTGGATATACACTGCTGCTGCGACATTATAAATCAGCTGTAATTCGGGGACTTAAAAACGGGAAACAATACCTACACAAGTTTTTTTAAACATTAAATGGACCGCAAATTCGGAGAAAATTACGCGCACAACCATCCATCAGGATCATTCGTGTAAAGCGCAATTTACGCTATTTTGTTTTGACCCCGTTTTCGTACTCCCGCGCTTTGTTTAAATCGCTCACTTCGTCAGCTGAGTTTGACAGCTGATTGTTGCGAGAGAGCGTGTTCCGGATCTCACCAGCACTCATTCTCTCTGTCGTGCCCAGTGCAGTGAGCCGCCGCGGTTGATGGAGCACTGTGACGTGGACAGGCCGTGGTAAACAGCAAGTTGCATTCAAATCAAAATAAAATCCGTCCTTCCTCCCTTCGCTGCTATTCTGCCACTGTTCTGTATACATATAGTAAAAAAGGTCACCGAATCAAGTGCAAGTGCAATAAAATGCAAGTGATAAGGCAAGCAATCAAGCCCCACACGACCAGAACTATCTTCAGCTCATTTGTCAATCATCGTTCAGTGTCGTCGGTGGCATTAGTAAACAGAACAATCAACACAGGTTCCAATCGTGGCTACGACGGGAGACGAGGTCAATATGGTAATAAATCTACCATCGACGGTAGACTAACTGGTACTGCTCTATCATGTTTGATTGCTGGCCTCTTTTTGCGAACAGCGGAAGATGAAGATCAAGCGGGACGAAGAAGTTTCTCATTATTTCCCACCGTTTCGGCTTTTACTCATGGGAAGGAATTGAATGGACGCCGGACTATGTACAATTTCATAGCCGACGTAGTGGACGTCTCTGCACCGGCAGTTGTATACATTGAGATCAAGGATACGAGACACTACGATTTCTTTTCCGGACAACCGATGACCGTTTCGAACGGATCAGGATTCATTATCGAAAAAGATGGACTGATACTAACGAATGCACATGTAGTAATCAGCAAACCCAATGCATTGGTCACGGTGAAGCTGCTGGATGGACGAACATTTCCGGGAGTAGTCGAAGATGTAGATCCCAACTCCGATCTGGCAACGGTGCGAATCAAATGCAAAGACTTGCCCGTTATGAAGCTGGGTAAATCTTCCGATCTTCGATCAGGAGAATGGGTTGTAGCCCTGGGAAGTCCACTGTCCTTGAATAACACCGTGACAGCCGGTGTTGTCAGCTCTACCCAACGCCCCTCGCAAGAACTTGGCCTACGAGGTAAAGATATTAACTACATCCAAACGGATGCGGCAATCACGTTTGGCAATTCCGGTGGTCCGCTGGTTAATCTGGACGGAGAAGCCATCGGTATCAACAGTATGAAAGTGACACCTGGTATCAGCTTTGCCATACCGATCGATCATGCCAAGGATTTTCTGCAGAAGGGTGCCGATAGAAGGAAAGCGAAGGGATACAGTACAGAAAAGATTCCGGTGCGCCGATATATGGGCATTACGATGTTGACGCTTACGCCGGAGATACTGCGGGAACTGAGACAGAGAAGCCACAACGTACCGGACAACGTTCGCAGTGGAATACTGGTTTGGAAAGTGATCCAGGGATCACCGGCTCATGTGTAAGTATTGCCAAAAAGTTAAATTCAAAATTTTAACCAATTTATGCATAGATGAGTTTGAATGTTTTAATGAAGATCTCAGAATCCGCTCTTGAAGTCTTCTCATTCTCGACATGCCGTTGTGCTTTTTAAGACCCATGTAGCATCTGTCGGTACATTTTCCAAGTTTGTTTGTCTGTATCATGCAGGACCCAAATCCGCACATTTAAGAAATCCCTCCGTGTCATACGTTTTGCATTAGGTTGGTTCGTCTTCTTCGTCGTCCAAATCCCACAAAAAGTCTTTCTGGCTTCTTTTGGAAGTGTCTTCCAACTGTTTCCGGAAGCTCCTCCAGACATTCCTTGGAGTTTCCCCGAAAGTTTCTTATGACTTTCTCCAGAAGAACATTTACTTTCTGCTAAATTTACCTTCTGTCTTCCTTCTAACGTTTGTTTAAGACCAGCCAGCCCTGATGTTTTTTGCGACTTATCCCGGAATTTTATTTCATATTCTCGTGAAATATCCTTTCAACTTTAATTAATTTCCTCTTCCTATATACTCCACACTCTCAAATTTTCCAGATAGGCTTTTTCTTCGCTAAACTCAATGCTCGGAGTCCTTACACCCACGTTTTCACTCAGCTCAATGAATTTTCAGTAACAATCGAATCCATTCAACCTCCGACTACCCAGGGTGACCCGTTGGGCAGACCTTTCTCTCAAGCCAAATTGTGCTTCGCACTAGCCAGCGGAAAAGGAAAATCGGCTGGTCCTGATGAAGTCGGGCATCCATTTCTTCGCCACCTTCAACCCATCGGCAGGAGGATCCTGCTGCAAAATTACAACCGAATTTGGACAGATAGAACTTTCCCCGCCCAGTGGCGACATAGTCTTGTTATCCATATTCCTAAGAAGGACTCGGTGCGCACGAAACCGAGCGGATACCATCCCATCTTCCTGACCAGCTGCTGTAGCAAGGCCATGGAACGGATGGTCAATCGAAAACTAACGCAATTCATCCGGGACAACGACCTCCTCGATCACCGCCAACATGCATTTCGCTAAGGATGCGGCACAAGCTCTGGATGATACCCTCGAAAATGGCCTCCACGTGGACTTGGCCACACTGGACCTTTCGAAGGCGTACAACCGCACTTGGACTCCTGGGGTGTTCGCAATACTGACCAGCTGGGGTATCGGCGGGAACACCTTTGCTTTCATCCCCATCTTCTCAGAAATAGAACTTTCCAGGTGTGCATCGGAAATACATAATCAAACTCTTTTCCGGACGAAACTGGCGGTAAACCTCTTCCTCATCACCATGAACGGAGTCTTCGAATGTTTACCAAAAGGTGTCTTGATGCGTTTGCGCCACAGGACATAGACCCACCCTGATCCGCAGGAAACTCCAAAGCGCCATCGAGGCAGTGCAGTGCATACTTGGGCATCATCCATCGGATTCGAACTATCGCCATCCAAGAGTCAATTCTCCCACCTGTGCTTAGGAATCAGTGTAATCTTCAAAATCAGTATAGAAGAAATACCTTTCGAGGCCATGATCCGCGTTCAAGGAGTATATCTAGACCGTCACCTAAGTTTTCAAGTTCACTGTGACCGGATAAAAAAGCAATGCGAAAGTCGATTGAACCTGTTACGAATTATCACCAGCAAGCATACCAACAACAACCGTGACGTTGGACTGCGTATCCACGAAGGCAATCATTTGTAGCAAACTGCTCTACGGCGCCGAGCTACTGTGTAGAAATTTCGATAATGTACCCGATAAACTCGCACCAACTTTCAACCGATGCATCCGCAGTGTGTCAGGCCTTCTCTCTTGAACTCCTGCAGCAGTCATGTCTGTCGAGGCTACAATCCTCCCCTTCCTATATATATTCGCAAAAGCCGTATATTCCAAAGCCACCACTTTCTTGGAGAAGACGACCGAACACGACGAAGGAGTGTTCCTCCTCAAAGAGGCAAACAAGCTCCTTCAAGATTTCACCCACCAGAACCTCCCCCAGTGTCCACTGGGTTGGAGCCGAAGCGTGAAACTACTCCCCACCTAAGATCATATGGGCATTAAATAAACCTATCAAAGAAAATCTGAACCCCCACACTAGACTGATGCAAAATTTGACTTTTTCGCTCCACAGTGCTTAAATGGTTTCAAATCGGGTCCTGATTAGCCTCCCAAAGTTACAACTCATTTGGTTAGAAACAGACTTCGCACAAGCCATTTGAAGTTTACATGTAAATTACTATGGCAAATCTCAACTTTTTGTTCATTGCCTTCTAGTCTTTTTTCATATTGAGCTGCGAAACCGTTCGATAGCCATTCTTATAGAAAATTTTCTCAGCTATAACTTTGCTGAAGATCGTTCCTATGTAAAATGAGACAGAAAAAAGTTTTGATTATTTAAGAGATTGGTAAACTTATGGCATGATCTAGCAGCTGCTCTGTAGGCAACACTGTATTTTGCAGTGTGACATAGTAGCCATGATTTTTGTGTCCTGTTCAACGGCCCAGAAACACCAATGTTGCCTGCTGAGCAGTTGATTGAACATGATCATAAGACATCAGCGCATTGAACCATTGATAACTTTCGATCCTTGCATTTAATCAAAAAGTAGTCTTCAGCAAGCTGGGAAAATTTCCTACAAGTACAGTTGAAAGTTTTTGAAGCAAACCAATACAGTGAATTATTAGATAGACATGAACAAAAATCTTGGTTTTCCCATAGTAATTCCCATACAAACTTCAAATGGTTTGTGCCATCTCAGTTTCTCACCAAATGGGTTCAAATCTTGAGAGGTTAGTCAGGATCCGATTTGGAATCGTTTAAGTATTGTGGAGCGAAAATTTCAAATTTTGCATCACTCTACCCCACACTGTGGTCCCATCCTTCAACGAGCTCATTAGAACAACGCTGAATGGCTACAAGCTCATCTATACGGATGGTTCGAAACCAGTGAACGAAGTCGGCTATGGCGTATTCGGCACCAACCTGGATACCAGCAGCCTTCCTAAGCCTACGTCAATCTTCTCGACTGAGGCAGCTGCCATCTTCGGTGGAAAAGAGGCTGCGGACAGGCTGACAAGCTAGCAAAATAAAAAGAGAGACGAAATGCTGGTCCTACACCAAAAACTGAAAGAGTACTGTTTAGATTACGCTGCGGCTACACCAGATTTTCACACGATCTCGGATGGATTCCACAAACAGCATGTGTGGGGTCTTAATCAAAATGTCAGTTGAGCATCTCATAATAAATTATCCTGCATAACAAAACCTCGGTGACCAATACGGTGTCGGTCCCAGCATTGTCCAATGATCCAGACAGGGAAAGATCACTTCTCGACTTCCTTAAAGACGCCGGCTATTAACAATCTACGTAGAACCAACAATCAATACGAAACTAACGATTTTAAATTGGCTCACTACTTGATTAGCCTATTGGTCCCAAGCAAATCGATTAACGTATCCCATTCTAGTATAAATTCCAGTACTACCACTATGTTTGTTTTGATTCGCTATGAAAGTTTGACAGATAAAATGAGGGGTAATGAATTTTCCTATGTTTCGAGGGGTGAATCGATTAGCTTGGGACCGAAGATAGTACCAGAGCTGAGCCAGAAAGTTGAGCTCGTTTCTTCGGGACCTTCTGGTCTTAGAGTTACCTCTATGGTGAACCATAGAGGTAACTCTAAGACATGAAGGTCCCGAAATAACGTGCTCAACTTTTTGGCTCAGCTCTGGTACTTTCTTCGGTCCCAAGCTAATCGATTCACCCCTCGAAACATAGGAAAATCCAATAACCCCTCATTTTATCTGTCAAACTTTCATAGCGAATCAAAACAAACATTGCGTAGTACTAGAATTTCGACTAGAATGGGGTCCGTTAATCGTTTGCTTGGGACCTAGGGGCATCCCACTCTAAACTTTGTATTTCTCGCATTATACTCAGAAAGTTCTTACTGATATCTAAGATACCTGCAAATACTTAAGAAATATTTAGCGCTAGTTTGTTACCTCCGTTGCTAGACAGATTTCATTCGATTATTTACCCGGTGTCTTCCGAGAATTTGTGTGTGTGTATTTAGAAAAATCAAGTATTATTTTTTAATTTATTCCTTTTTTGTAGGAATCGAGGAGGAGACCATTTTGATTCAAGGAATATTACATTGCCAAACCGATTCACATGTCATTCAAAGGAAGAATAAGGAACTATTCGGAAAGTTACTGTGGAAGAAACTGCGTGTGGAAGCAAATTCCCTGAGCAAATGTTTCTATCCCAAAACCATGTCTCCATAAAGATGCATTTTTCGTCCATTAGGTTCTTGACCGTTGGACGATAACTTCAGGCCTTTACGCTGATTGAAGCTGAATAAGAAGTTGTGAAAGCTTTCTGCACCATCCGCAAAGCCACATCTCCTATAGATTGCCGCCGAATAAGAAGAGAATCACATTTCCTTGGATTTGGAACCTTCGATGCTCTCCTGCTTAAGGCTTATTAGGGTAGAGAGCTACTTCGGCCTAATCACCCATTTTGGGCCTATTTAGCAGAAAACATCAAATCAAGCCATGATTACGGCGTTAACAAGTCAATTATGCGTTTGGTACGATACTTCTGTTCCAAATCTACCGAACGAAGTCAATAAGAAAGTGTGATATGAATGTTTGCACCCATTATTCTCAAAAAACAAAAGAGTGAATTATATTGCGTTTGAATGGCGTTTCAATGCTTTAGACCGAGTTTAGAATCCGAAGGCTGAGTTTGGCGTCAAGAAGCAGTGTTAGATTTTTAACAATATCTCAAAAATGTGTTTCTCTTTATCAAATCTTACGATACGTACGGAAAGTTCAATAAATTTGGAAGGCATCTGCAGTGAGAACATTCCATTTTGTAAAAAAAACTTCGTTCTAAGAATAGAGATAAAGGGCAGGTTGTGCTTACTAGGCCCAAAATAAGATCTAAGTCGTAATAAGGCTGGACATGGTCAAACCAACATATTCGCTCCGTGTTAATCTCAGAACCGTTCTCTAATTGACTCTATCATTCATCAGAAACGGCTATGTGTTAAAACTTTAATTTGGGCTGTTTGGGAAATGGTTTGAAATAACTTCATACATTTTAACTTAGGATTATTTTACATGAAATTGGTACAAATAAGTAACGTGTTGGAACTAAATCGTTTTATTTGGTATATCAATGGTTTGTTATAAATTATAATTTCAGAACAGATTAATATTTTTCTTATCCTTACTTACTGGTAAAAGTGAAGAAATTCATGTTGATTTCACATAAAGCCTTCAGTTGCTATCAGGATACTCATTCAACTCCCTCACCAGTCCGTCATAACTTATTTTTACCGATGTAAATTTATCAAAACCCGGTACGATACGACCACCAGTGGCAACTGCAATTAGTTCAACTTCGAGCCCACCAGCACAACGAATTGCTGGTAGTTATGCTTCATTGGCCTCTGGCAAATAACCAGTGTAGTCCTAGCATCCTTGGCCGGCTTAAAGTCAAGAATTTCATAATCATGCAGCTTGCGATAGTTCTTAGCCGAATTGACTTACGCTTTTATTTTGGCAGTTCGGTTTGAAATCTAGCTACACTACCGATCATAAGATTAAGGACACCCCCGAAAAACCATGCAAATATGTTCTGTTCAATGATCTCTCATTTTACGTTCAATTTTCGATCTCCAAAGGTTATTTGAATGGTATAGCATAAATGTTCTACTACTACTTTTATTTCAAAATTTGGCCAATCCAATTCTGAGAAAATCAGTCACGATTCTTCAGAGTAAATTTTGAAAAATATTGTAACTTTGGGTGAACTTTTAGCACACAAAATTTAAAAATAATATTGAACAATTTGCCTACGAGAAAAGTTCCATTCAATACCTTTCAAATGATCTAAAGAGAACGAAAATTTGACGTAACATGACAGAGATATGAACATAAAAAATTTGTCATGTTTTTTTGGGGGTGTCCTTAAACTTATGATCGGGAGTGTACGAGTTCGGACGACAACAGCACCATTAGCCTCCAGCTAAGCAATCTAATTCAAAAGTTTGATATCGTACTTAACAGCCAGTTTGAAATCATAAATAATTCGCTATCCCTGCTCCAACTGGTTCGTTGAAAGTAAAAATTTTTTGATGAACTATTTCATAACTAGAATTGATCATGATCACACTACTTCATTTAATTTAAAACATATTGAAACTAGTATTAATATGCTTTAATACGTGATTAAAAGTAATACATTGACGGAATATACAACAACAAACAACTACATTAGTAACCGGTCACTACGATTACAAAATCCAAATCTTAAAATACTTAAAAATACTTAAGGTGAATCGCTGTGACATCCTTATTCACGGAACCAATTCGAATCTTTAAGTTCACAAATATCAGCTTCTACGACACGTGCAAAATTTAAATTGTTACTCTTCGTTTGCTACACTGCAGCATACATGAAGTAGCTATTTCAGGTGAAATGGAGCACCGATTTCCGAGATTTGTGTATTTGAATATTCGAAGTGGAAGCTTGTATACCGTACGTGGCGGCCATTTGTGGACTCTACAAGGATTCACCTTAAGAATACTTATCAGATACTTGGAAATACTTAATTGATACTATAAGCTGATGGTTCACGGCCACTCTGGTTACTCCGACATTCATTGTGGACATGTGAACAATAATTAATCTGTTAGTAACGATAAGTAAAAAAAAAAGCAAATCTTACTATTTCAGGCATTACATTTGATAACGGCACAAAAACTTTTGTAAACAAAAGTTGTAAGGCCCTTTACACGCGAACCGAAGCACGCCCACGCAAACCAATACAATTATCGGAAAGGGGAAAATTTCCCCCACCCGATGATGTTGTTGGTTTACATGGGCGTTCTTCGGTTCGCGTGTAATAAATGTCACTATTGGTCACTTTTTTATTGTTTCAAGGTCACTATTTTCGTTATTTTAGTTACTTAAGTCACTACTATTATATCACATACCCACTACTAGCCCTGCTTGCGGGCTGGTCACATCCTGTACATCCTGTCCGATACTTTCATCTATTCGAGATAGGGAGTCTTTCTTCTTAACGAGGCATATCTGTATCCCGTATCTTCTTCCAGTTGTCCAGGGGTCATACTGTGTAAGTTGAAACGAATAAACTTTCTCGATAAGTTTCAAAGCTGGCTATATTTTGCCAACATGAGATAAGGTAGTTTCGGATGGACTTGCTGCACTATTTTTTTAAATGACCAATTTGTATTGTGTACATGCATGCTTTAGAAAAACTAACCGACTAGTTTCCCAATTCCAAACTCCATTCGTTTATGCACTGCACAAATGCCAAATAAATTTATATCATACATTCCAACAGCGGAGGACTCTACCCAGGCGACATCATCATCGCCATCAATGGCAAGGAGGTGAAAAACTCAGCCGACGTGTACGAGCTGCTGTCGGCAAAGGACCGAGTACTGAACATCACAATCTATCGCGGAGTGGAACGGATGACCGTCAAGGTAACTCCCGAAGACCCGGAACAGGTTTAACCTAGCATGAGGAAAACACATAATACAATCACGAAACCTTGTTCTGACACATCACATAATTTATTTTTTAAATCTGTAAATACATACACGATTGTATATTTTGTTACACTGCCTCTGGAATAAAATTTTTACATCAATACTACAGTTTTGTGCTCATTTAGTGAAGTATCCTATAGGTAAAAATTGGTGCCTATGTAAAAATCTCAGTTCTCTGGGTACACTTAGTATGATAGGGCGCGGCTTTAGGAAAACCCGCAAGCTGACAAGGAAGGTTGACTCAATTTCCGTTGGTGCCATTTGTGGTGCCGTTCGTACCATTGGTCGTTCCGTTCTTTATACCATTCGAAGCTCCATTCTTTGTCCCATTAGCGGTACCATTTGTTCCATTTGCTCCGTTGCTACTTCCGTTCGCGCTGCCATTCAAAACCGCTCGATGGCCGAAGAATACTTCATAATTTTTCGAATAATCTCTTGGCAGTTCTAGCTCGAAGGTATCCGCGGCCAGGTACGCTGCACCCAGAGCCATAGTGTTTGTCAGGTTCAGTAGGTTCAGATCATATTTGAATTTGGCATTTTCCAGCTCCTTTGTAAATCCTGGCTCCAGCAGTTCCCAGCTCAGCCAAACCGATCCAACGCACACGATGTCGAGCCTTCCACATTTGCTTATCAGGGTCGGGCTGATGCGAGGCGATAAGGCACAAACAGAACGAGCCAGTTCCTGACCGGCATCTTCGAATAGCTTTCGACACAGGGGGTCTTCTTCCTCGCGGGCACATTTGGCCAGCTTTGCACACAGTCCGGAGAATGTAGTTTTGCAAAATTTGGCGTAACAATAGTCCAACAGATCGGATCGGGTTTTGACTCCAAAGTGTTCGCGAATCAGCTGCCACACGCGTTCCACGCACAGCTTGCTCCGGCGAAAGTTGTCCTCGTGGTCGAATACGATTTTGATAGCGTTCTTCGAGATCCACCAAGCTGGAAGAGAAATTGGGTTGGATTCACATTAATGTGTTGTATTGATTTATGGAGAAAAAAGGACAATTCTTTCGTTTGACTACTTTTACTTTTGGAATTGTTCATTGGAAATGAGTGAAGCATTGTATATTTCCATAAAAAATGCTAAGACCAGAATTCTGAAAGTAGGATGGATGCAAAATTTCGTGTATTTGGTTAGGCTCAAGTGTTTAAGAAACACTACGGAGTCGAGTAACAGCCAATTGCTTTATTAAAATCGAGTGATTTATAATGAGTTTTTCTTTTTCCAGGGAGAAGATTTGATTTTGGCTTCTGCTTTTTGCCGTGCCTGCAATTTTCTATTTTTTTCATTTTTTCTGTCTTTTCCAGCGCTACACTTCTTCCGTTATCTGCTCCTTCGCCGTATAGTCTACAATTTAGAAATATGAAATTGATGATGATATCAAAATTTTCCACGGGGAGTTACACGGTCAAGGAGATCAACCCAAATTTGAATTTAATTTACTCATAAATCGCAAAAAATTCAGGAACTCAGCAATGAGTAAATTGGCCACTTTGTCAAGCAGTTTTGGCGTGACTTTCTACCAGTGATTACACAAAACTGGACCAACTAATTTCTATTTTTTTATGAAACGCACACATGCTGGCTACTTTTCTCGTGGCTCTAGAAGATAAAGTCTCAAAATAATGTTTTATTTCAAAGCTCGAGTGGTAGTAACCGTCATTTTAACTGCTCGAATGAAGTGGTTAATTGCCTGTTTTTTCCAGGTTTTTCCAGAAAAAAATTCCCGAATATGAGAAAAGTACAGATTGAATTCTCTCAATCTATTGGTACTACCCCTAGACTGAGTAAAATTTTCGTAAATTTTCCTCATTTTCCGGAAGATTTTTGAGGTTTTCCACAGGAAAACATGAGGCAAATTTACTCAGCGCTGAGTTCCTGCACTTTTTGCGATTATGAATAAACGGTACTCAAATTTAGGTTGATCTCATTTGCCGTGTATACGAGTGAAACCCTAAAATGCTTTTATTTTGCAAAAGGGGCAACGAGGGGAACTACTAACGTCCCAGACAACCAGAAGTCGTATAACAATGTACAGACAGTATCGTAAATTGCTACAGTTTAAGTCAAAATCGCATATAATAATGTCAAACCTCGCATTATGTTTAAGTTAAATCGTACACGGTAAGAAAAAAGTACCCAAAATTGAGTTCCTTTCACTCATCACGTGGCTTCCGTGGGGCTAGGTAAAATTAAGTTAAAGAAGAAAACTCAATTTTGAGTAATCCTGATCGTTGACCAATTTGACAAAAAAATAATAAAACGGAGCAGACTGGAACCGAACCATGGACGTTGAGATTACGGGGCCCGTGTGTTGACCAGTCGTCTATCAACGCTTGTAAAACTGAAAATGTCAAAGGCGCATAAGAGCAACCTCAATGAAAATAAACTTATATTTGAGTTCATTTATTATTACTCAACAGTTGAGTAAATTTTAACCAACGCCGCTTTTCTGATTCACTCAACGGCGGACCTCAAATGATAGAACCCAACGTTGAGTTTTTTTAAACTTAATTTTGAGTATTTTTTTCTTGCCGTGTATAGAATGCAAATTTCCGACTTATATGCGATGACTCATTTTTCCGTCGTACTGCATCACAAATTAAATCGGATTACATCGTAAGATTTTTCAAAATGAATTTGTTATTACAGATTAAATCCTATATGATGTTACATCAACTCGTTTAAAATTAAATTAAAATATGCATGTATATGGCCTCCACTTTTGTACGTATAAGCCATTTATTTGCATTCTATACGAATTGTTTGTTTGTATATATGTTTGTATATCACGAAAACAACTTTGAATATACGTGCATTCTGGTTGTCTGGGGTAGCATTAACCGGATTTAATTAAATTAATTTGTCGCAAAATTAATGCATATTAAAATTACACTCGTATACCTCACCATGTGAAATTTTAAAACCACTATCACTTTCATAGATCTTCTATTCTCCACGGGTGGCAACTTTGATTTGCCAATAAGCGTCATTCTGATGCTTGAAAACAGGCTACTACTGTTTCTGGGAATCGCTTGCTTCCTTTCCACTGTTTTTCTCGGTTTCCGGTCTGTTGTTGCATTTCTGGCCATTCCCTGGTCTTCCGCCTGAAAAAGAAATTCACCCGGTGCCCTTCCATATTGCATATGGAATACATGTTGTTATCCACTATACATGGACCCCTTCCGATTGAGAAATTGCAGCGAGGCAGGAATTTGCTTTTACACGTCCATATCACCTAGTTGAGGGACTTTAATCCGGATCCATCCATAATCCGTATACCGGAGTCCGGATCACGGATATGCTAACAGATTTTATCTGGATATCCCGATATCCGGATAATCGGATATTTATTTATTTATTTATTTTTTGATACATTCATCTGACAATTAGTCTTAATGAACTAGAAATCCTAACAAATGCTAAATGTGTCTGTAATCGATATTTTTTCTCAGCCGCAGGTTCCCCCCCCCCCCGTCGTTCAAACATGTCTATGCTTAACAAGCGACATCTCTCAGGTAAGTTTAGAGGATTTCTCCAAGGAAGTTGCCTCCTTGATCGACGAATAGAAGCTTTTTAATACGTTCTAAGAGAAGAGGTGACAATACGGGGGCGAAAATGAACCACTTTTCTGTCAAACGTGAACCAGCTCCTGATTGGCTGATTTCATGTGCGTAAGATAGAGATAGAGATAGATAAAGATAGGGATAGAGATAGAAATAAAAGAGGAAGAGGCCAATTGTCACCTCTTCCTCTTAGAATACGTTCTATTCAGATGCTCCAGCAGAGTTGGTAAGGAATCCGTTTGTTTAACAGATGCAGTCTCAAGAATTGAGCGCACAAGTGCCTTTAAACATTACGGGTCGGAGAACTCTCTTGAGATTCTAGATATAAACCCAAACTGACGATTTGCCTTCGCAACTACCATTGAACGATGTAAGTCAAACGTAAGCTTATACACTTGGTTAGCTGAGATCTCGGCAACATTACCGTTTGTTAGCTGAATCACCAAACTAAAATGCCGAGCTGCTCGGTGGTGCCTATCTCGGCAAAAAAAAACTAAGTGTGTAGGGTACACAATTACTTCTAGATCACTTACTTGTTCAACTCTTTCCAGTACAAATCCATCAATCTAATGGAAGTCTAGCAACTCGTAACTACCGTTACTATTATAACAGCATCGCTACAGTCAATTTACAAATATAGTACTCTGGTGTTTTAGAAGTAGTCAAATAATTCAGAGTTTCATTGGTGGTTTGCTGTATTTGGCTGTAAACACCAGAGCGGATATTGTAATAAGTGCGTAGATCCTTGGGATAAATGTTAGCCAACCGACTGGACCAAGGCTAAGAGAGTGTTGCGGTACTTGAAGACTACAAGCAATTATCAACTTCAGCTGAGAAACAGTTCTCAAATTCTGGAAGCTTTTGCGGATGCTGACTGGGCAGGCAACGTTAAAACTCGGAAATCGAACGATCGAACTCTGGTTATCATTTCCAGCTAGGTGGCGGTACGATCTCGTGGTGTGCCAAGAAACAGACATGTGCCGCATTGTCATCGACAAAAGCGGAGTACATTTCACTTGCCGATTGCTGCCTAGAATTAATTTTGATAAAAAAGCTTTTGCACGACTTTGGAGAAGCAGTGAAGAACCCGATTCAGATTTATGAAGACAATCAAAGTTGCATTAAAATGCTGACCAGGTAAGGAGAAAAACAATCAAAACATATTGACACGAAGTTTCATTTTGTGAAGAATTTGGCCGAACGCAATGAAATCAGAGTCACCTACTGCCCAACAGAGACCATGCTGGTGGACATCGTTACGAAGCCTTTGAACAGGGTAAAACCAATAATCAATACGAAACTAACGATTTTAAATTGGCTCACTACTTGACTAGCCTATTGGTCCCAAGCAAATTGATTAACGTACCCCATTCTAGTCAAAATTCTAGTACTACACAATGTTTGTTTTGATTCGCTATGAAATTTTGTCAGATAAAATGAGGGGTTATTGGATATTCCTATGTTTCGAGGGATGAATCGATTAGCTTGGGACCGAAGATAGTACCAGAGCTGAGCCAAAAAGTTGAGCACGTTTCACCGGGACCTACTAGTTACCTCTATGGTAAAACCGTCACCTCAAGACAAAACCAAATCCAGATTCCCGCACAACAAGACGTAATCTGACTCTGCCTTCTCCAAACCACATTTTTTCCCATACACGACTAATAGCCAACCAATATTTATTGCATACGCACCGATATGTTCGACCAGCACCAAGCGCATCATGTTACACGTGCTGGCACCGGACTCTCTTTCTTACTTTGTGTAGCGTCGAGTTCTCTTTACCGATTAAACTTCTTACTAAGCCTATTGGTTGAGCCAAAATTTCAGGCAACTCCAAGCGTCTCTCTCTCTCTAGAACAAATAACATTGTAGAGATATTGTACTATGTAGACTTTAAGTAACTTGTAACCAAAAGTATTTCATAATAAACAGAATTGGATCAACCATCAAAGCGTGATTACTTATTTGAACCACGTCCATGTATTTGCATATTACACTAGCAACTCATAACTACCGTTACTATAACAGCACAGACAAACAGACATAACACATTGAATATATCTCACCGTAAAACATCGCCGCTAAAACATTACCGCCATCTGTTGAGTACACTGTGGTGGGCACTACACTGAACAGATGGCGGCAGTGTGTAAACGTCAAACGCAAGGGAATTGACTATGTATCGAGAGTGGTTAACGAAACCGATGTGTGTGGTTATGGATGACGAAACCTACATCAAGGCAGACGCAAAGCAGATACCGGGGCTGGAGTTCTACGTTGCCAAATCACGGTTTGATGTTCCGGAAGACATAAGGAAGAAAAAAGTGGACAAATTCGCCAAAAAAAAAATACTTTCTCTGGCAGGCCATATGCCAATGCGGTAAACTGAGTAAATAAACCATACATCACAATGGGTACCATCAACAGCGAAATTTACCGCACCGAGTGCCTCCAGAAGGGTCTGAGGCCCTTTCTGCGGTCCCACGGAGGCGAGACATTATTTTGGCCGGACCTGGCATCATGCCATTACGCGCGATTCACGTTGGATTGGTACAGAGACAATAACGTTGTTTTTGTACCAAAAATCGCCAACCCCCCAAATTCACCAGAGATTCGTCCGGTGGAAAGATAATGAAGGCCAAAGTTCGAAAATCGTCCAAGGTGTTTAAGAACGAGCTGGAGTTGAAGAAATAATGGATGAAAGTGACCAAAAAGGTCGGCTCCACCATTGCACAAAATGTAATGAGGGGTCTTAAGGGAAAGGTGCGGGCTTTCAGCGATGGAAAGAAAATTGAATAAAGTAATTATGCCGAAACATAATCCATATGTATAAGTTCATTCCCTGAAAGTTTCAAGAAAATACGACTTAACATAATTTTTTGGCGAACACTTTTGTCTGGTGCATTTTTTTTCGAGTACAGGCCTTATAACATCTAATGATTTCAAAATCCTGAAAATATTTTTCATAGCAAGTGAGTGAAAGCAAGCCTGATTCAAACTGGAGTTAAATTTACGAATAATATCGTCATAACTTTGAAAATCAGTCATGGCTTTTAAATCATTACATATTTTGAATTGGAATGCTCGATCTCTAAAAGATAATGAAGACCTATGAAGACGAGCTATTTAACTTTTTTCCGTTATAACTGAAACGTTCCTTAACCCTGGTTATAAGGTTAAAAGGAACGCAAATTATTTCATTTATAGAAATGATCGGTTTGATGGAGCCTGTGGTGGCATTGCCATCATTGTTCACAGACGAATCAAACATAAAATTATTTCTTCATTTGAAACCAAAGTTTTTGAAACTTTGGGAGTTTCAGTTGAAACAAAATTTGGATAACTAGATAACTTACGTTTATAGCTGCCTATTTGCAATTTCAATGTGTAGGCCAGCAAAATAATTTTCTCAAGGGTGACCTTAAGAAACTTATTCGTCACCGCTCATGGAATCATGCTCAAAGCAATTCCATTGGTAATATTCTGTTTGATGATTGTTCTGGAGGTTATTGCACTGTTCAATATCCAATCAGCCCAGCATGATTTTCTTCAGCAAGAAATCCCTTAATTATTGATTTGGTCTTTACTGATTCACGTCCACTTTGTAGCCAATTGGTTACCATTCGGTTCAAATCAGCTTCCAGTAATTTTTGAAATATCCCAAGAAATAATTTGTAATCGCAACAACTCTACTTTCAATTACCACAAAGCTGATTGGGAGCAATATCGAACATTTATGGAATATTACCAACGGGTGGAAACTAACGATTTTAAATTAGCTCACTACTAGACTAGCCTATTGGTCCCAAGCAAATCGATTAACGTACCCCATTCTAGTCGAAATTCTAGTACAACACTTTGTTTGTTTTGATTCGCTATGAAAGTATGACAGATAAAATGAGGGCTTAGTAAATTTTCCTATGTTTCGAGGGATGAATCGAATCGCTCGGGACCGCAGAAAGTACCAGAACTGAGCCAAAAAGTGGAACACGTTTCTTCGGGTCCTTCTGGTCTTAGAGTAACCTCTATGATATTACCATAGAGGTAACTCTAAGACCACTGGGTCCCGAAGAAAATCATTATTATTTTTGGCTCACTCAGTACCAGAACAACGGTCCCAAGCAGTCCCAAGCTATTTCACTCACCCCTGCATGTTCTGCATGAATCCACACACCCCTGATGTTATCTGTCAAACTTTCATAGCGAATCAAAACAAACATAGTGTAGTAATAGAATTTCAACTAGAATAGGGTACGTTAATCGTTTGGTTGGGACCAATAGGTTACTAAAGTGGTGAGCCAATTTAAAATCGTTAGTTTCGTATTGATTGTTGATATTACTTCGATCCAAACATTCCTTTGCAAACCAGAGATGAAATTAATTATGCTCTTGAAACTCTGACTACTTCTATAGTTGAAGCAAGAGCTGCCTCAGTACCAAAATGCGAGGTTAAATTTGATTCAATTATAATAGACGACGATCTTCAGCTCTTGATCCGTCTTAAAAATGTCCGTAGAAGGCAATATCAAAGAACACCCGATCATATCTGGCGGGATTTGCAAAAACATCAAAAGCCTATTCCAGCGCTTAAAGAAGGTGGTAAAAATTTGATCACAAATTCGGAAAAAGCTCAGAAACTTGCTAAACAATTCTAGAGTTCCTATAATTTCAGCTTGGGTCTTACTAGTCCTAAGTTAAGTTTTCTTTATAAGGGAGGCTTTCAGCCTGGGGCTGGTTCGCTTCCGATTACTAGTCCTATTGAGAATCAGTTTTCTCGGGATTATCTGAATATTTTCTCTGGGACTGATTTGGACGAGTAAAATCTATAACTACAAAGTTTCATAATATGAAAGCTCCAGGCGATGATGGAATTTTCTATATCCTCATCAAAAAACTCCCAGAGAGTACCTCGTCTTTCTTGATAAAATTATTTAACAGATGTTTCCATTTGGCATACTTTTCTGATAAATGGAAAAATGTTAAAGTTGTTCCAGCCAGTTAAAAATGTTAAAAATGTTGGTTATAAATGTTAACCAGCCAGTGGCTGAAAGTCACTCTAATAAAGAAAAAAAAAAGTTGTTCCAATTTTGAAGCCGGATTAAAATCCAGCTGAAGTTTGCTTTCTTCAATAAGTAAACTTTTTGAAAAGATAATTATAAATAGAATGATCAATGAATTATAATTGTAGATAATTATAAATAGAATGAATCAATACGAACCAAATTTTTGCAGATGAGCAGTTTGGATTTCGCCAGGGGCATTCAACTACTCATCAACTCTAAGGAGTTACCAATATAATTCGCTCAAACAAATCTGAAGGCTTCTCAACTGGAGTTGTTCTTCTAGACATAGAAAAAGCATTCTACAGTGTTTGGCATGGAGTTTTGATTGCTAATTGAAAAAGTTGAATTTTCCACTCTATTTTATGAAATTAGTTCAAAATTATTTAACTGACAGAACTCTGCAGGTAAATTATCAATATTCCAAATCTGATCGACTACCTGCTAGGGATGGAGTCCTTCAGGGTAGCATTCTTGGGCCTATCCAGCTTTCCACACTCGGCAATGGCGTCCTGTAGGTATCAATAAATGTATCCTTCACTTTGGTTTTTGACACTAACTGGAGGGCGTATGTTGCTCAGTTTTCCTATGTTCCTCGGAGAGGGAAAGATAGGATGACATTCCGAACCTCCAGGTAAACCACAGTGAATGATACATTGCATACATTGGGGCCCCCAATATGTTGCCGAAAGACGTAATCCTACGTCAAAATCCTCACGGACCGTTGGATTTTTTTTTCATGATAAGGACTTGATGAGTCCATCTGCTTCTTCCTCCCAATTTGAGGGTACAATTTCATAAAACCAAAATCGACTGCGTTACGAAAAGTGGTCAGGTTTCGACCACTTATAATACAGTCAATAGCGGATGGATTTCAATTCTAAACAAGCCAATTGTTTGAATATTTTTCTACAAATCTACTAAAATGACCACTTTATCAATATTCAATAGGTCTCTACTGAAAATTACACAAATGTCCATCTGTTGCAATGGTGATCTAAATTATCAACGATTGTCAGCAAAAAGTGGTTTCCCTAATACGGTCGCCAAATATTGATACCGAACACGTAATTCTCTGTAAAATCTACGTTCGTGTTTTGGATACAACCTCTTACTTTTTTCTGATAAAATAGCTTCATAGAATTTTCTTAAGACAGTTGAGTCTAAACTATTAAATGGAATGGAACATAATCTCTCATAATGTTTGTATCTTAGAGAACATTTCTAAAATCAAAAAAATGGGATCCCCATTTATCCGTATAAAAAAAGTTGCTTGCAACACGGACAAGCAAATTCAAAATCAAAAGAGAGACACTTACCACTTCCTTCGTCGCCAATCATGTGTCCCCATCCGCCGCAGCCATAGGTACTGCCGTCTGGATTTCTCAGCAGTGTGTTGGAACCGGTTCCGGAAATGATTACCATTCCTCCTACGTTCGACGCGGTGGCAATGCTGCCGACTGTGTCACTACCAACCATGTAGCGGTCTGCCACATCCGGGTAGTGTGTTTTTAAGTAGTTCTCGAGCTCCTTGTTTGTGGCATCCTGTTCGGCTCCACTAAGGCACAGCCCCATGGCGGACAAGCGGTGATTTTCTGGAATGTTGGCCTGTACTTTGGCCTCCCGGGCCATCGTATCGATCCGTTTGGCCACTTCTGGAATGCCGACCATCCAGTGGTTGGTGCTGGGACCTTTGGCCGATGCTAACACCTTTCCGGACTGATCGCATATTACCAGCTTTGAATGGGTGGCGCCACTGAAAGGAACAAAAATAGAGTGTTGGAATTTTAATCCTTTGTCCATTATGATAAGTAACGGATGAGTTATATCTATCAATAAATGATTTCAATGTTTGCTTTAGAGTCATTTGCATCATTACAATATCAATGCTCTCTGTGCGTTACGAAGCGAATTTTTGATCTACATTTGGATGCATTTGATTTGTTTTATTGCATCACGATTGTACACGTCTTTATGGTGTGATCCATCCAACGATGAGTTCAAATAACGGAAGAAAAGACGGTCAATCACGTGACTGTATCGTTTCCATTGCTGGGCATTATCCAATTAACCACAATTGGATGGAATGGGACCGGATAACTCGACGAAAATGACCCGTTGTCCAATCACCTTCTGGACTTCAGATACGCAAATTGAATAAGAATAGACATGTTTTATGAGAGTGCGTTTCGACAACGCTTTGAATAACTGCAATAGGATTTACTATGTGTGACCAATGGGACTGTTTCATTTTCACTTGAATGAATTAGGAGGTGCCCCAATTTAAGCGAACAGAAATAGTCTAGTCGGGGCTCCCAATCAACCGTAAGCGTAATGCAGAGGGTAACGTATTCGATTCTCTAGTCTCAGATTGTGAATTTCCTGCAGTTCCTTAGGCATTGTGCACGATTGAGATTTGCTATACAATACAGAAAGTCAAGTAATGGTTGGTTTAGAAAGCTTTCAATTAATAAACGTGGAAGTGCACAACACCCAGTTGTGAGCAGGTATCAAGTTGGAGCGTAATACATCAGGAAGAAGAAGTACTAATCAAATCTATAATTGTATATTAAATCTAAAATCATTGACGTAGTGTCCAACTTGATTGTTTGGTAAGGCATTGACTTGTCGCAATTTATGTCGTGAATTTCCATTGAGATAATCAATCGGTCTATGCATTCACAAGAAGTGGAGCGAATCCTTATCTTTGAAATAAAAAAAAAACTGTGAAATAATACCCTCATGACTTGCCATTTTGCGGCCTTTTTCAAACAGCAGCTGTTATCGGTGCTATTCTACGCTGCATTAGTTGATAAGATTTTAAACGAATAGGTGCGCTTTGTAAGAGAAAGTAATTATAAATTTTGGGATGGCTTCATCGTCATTGTTGGTGGCGTGCATCTGAGAGCTAAAAGTATCAGGCACACGACAACTGTAGCTTGTTGATTTGCCTAGGGTGATTCATAACAATACCGTCCACGAGAGGCTTCTTTTGACGAAGGTTTTATTTTTATTCGTCTACTGCAGTCTACGAGCATTTGTATGTTTCCTATCGGATCATGTCTTTCCAATTTTATCTCCATTACAGCATAAGGATAACGAACTCATTATTTGCTCATACCCTTTTCTATGTTACTATGTTACGCTCACTTCTTGAGCCTTATAAGTCATCCTCAAATTATGTTTCGGATTAGAGGGGGAGGGTGTATCCACATTCCTTACAGTTTCTTACAATACACGCTAACTTTAATAGGTACTTTCAAGTTAGCGTCTAGGGGGAGGATTGCGGGGCGGTGGTTGACATATTCTTACATAATCACAGACAAACAGACAAACAAAACGTTCGCGTGTTGGTCATCGATCACGCATTGAAACATTTCTCAAGCGAATCAGTAATTGGGTGTGGGAATCAATAGCAACAAACTTGCCCCTCACAGGAACTTGTCGAACACATGCCTCGTCAGTCACGGAGTCTTTCAAACGCCCGGTCGATGTCACCTACGGTGTCAAGCGGCGGATCTTCTTCGATGCCTCTGTCATCCACACGTCCAAACTGCACCCAGTTGACTGAAGAATCCTTTTTTTCACTTAAATTGATCTTCATTTCTTTTGTTTGTAGTGGGACTACATGGTAGGGAGGAAGCGCTGAAGGTCTACCGAGAACGCCATCTCTCGTGCAGACAGGTGATCCGCGACGCGAAGCGATCCAGCTGGATGGACTTCCTGGATTCAATCGATGAATCCCAATCGTCGAGCGACTTGTGGAATCGCGTCAACGCTCTCAGTGGCAAGCGGCGATCCACTCCACCTACTATCCAAGCTCATGGCAACACGATCTCAGAACCGAAGGACATCGCTGACAATTTAGGGAACTATTTTGCCGGCCTGTCCGCTATCAGTGGCTACGACAGCGATTTCGTCCAGCGCGTCAAACCTTCCACAAGCAGCATTCGCGACCTGCGAATTCCATCCGATGTCCCTTCCCTCCAGATCAACGATGCTCTTACCTTCCGGGAGCTTCAGTTCGCCCTCGGCAGCAGTACTGGTAAATCTGCCGGGCCGGACGAGATTGGATACCCGGTGTTAAAAAACCTCTCCCTCGACGGAAAAACGAGGCTACTCGCTCTCTTCAACGACCTATGGCTCACTGACTCGTACCCGGACCTCTGGAAACAAAGCCTGGTAGTGCCCATTCCAAAGATCAACGCGGCGAGTGGAGAAGCCTCCTCCTTTAGGCCGATTGCGCTCACTTGCTGCGCGGCAAAAGTGATGGAGAGAATGGTAAATCGTCGACTTAGGCAGTTCCTGGAGTCAAACAGTCTCCTTGACGAACGGCAGCATGCATTCCGACAAGGACACGGCTCCTCCACTTACTTTGCAGCCCTCGGAAATGTACTCAAGGAAGCCCAGGACAACGGTCACCATGCGGAGTTAGTATCCCTTGATATTTCAAAGGCGTTCAACAGGACTTGGACGCCCGGCGTCATCAGGCAGCTCATCGGCTGGGGCCTGAAAGGCCACATCACACATTTTGTACGGAATTTCCTCCTTGATCGTACCTTCCAGGTGACTGTCGGGAACACTCGATCGGATCCGTTCCCCGAGGAAACTGGAGTGCCCCAGGGATCCGTCATAGCGGTAACGCTATTCCTGGTGGCAATGAACGGGGTATTCAGCCGACTGCCCAAGAACGTGCACGTAATCGTCTATGCCGATGACATACTCATCGTCGTAACGGGACGAACGACTATACGGACCAGGAATATAGCCCAAGCAGCTGTCTCCGCCGTCAGCAGGTGGGCGCTTTCTGTTGGTTTTCAGCTCTCCGCACCAAAGAGTGTACGGTGCCATATCTGCCACTCGGGTCATCTGATTCGGGGACCACCGATCACCATCCAGGACCATCCAATTCCGCTTAAGAAAACAGTCCGCGTTCTGGGGGTAGTTCTGGATCGGACTCTAAGTTTCGACCAACACTTCAGAACGGTGAAAGAAAACTGCCGTAGCCGCATCAACATCGTCAGGACAATCTCCCGTCCGCACCGCTCCAGTAACCGCGAGATCCGCCTTCGTGTCGCCCGGGCTGTTATCGACAGTCGACTTTTCTACGGCCTCGAAATTACCTGCTTAGCCACCGAGAAGCTGAACCGCATCCTCGCTCCGGTATACAATACCTACGTACGCATCGTATCCGGCCTCCTACCTTCCACGCCCGCAGACGCCGCTTGTGCAGAAACCGGAGTCCTCCCTTTCCGCTATCGATCTGCTGCAGCCTCTGCCACCAAAGCCGCTGCCCTCGCTGCTAAGACATCCGGGAACGATAGGGTCTTTCTCCTCAACGAGGGGAACAGAGCCCTCCGCACTGCAGCCAACGTAGACCTCCCCCCGGTGGCCAGGGTCCACTGGCATGGAGAGAAAAGTTGGCGATCAAACGTTATCAAAATAGATAAGCGGATTAAGAGAGGATTCCAAGCCGGAGATAACTCTGTAGCGTTGAGGCGCTCTGTTGCAGAACTTCTTAGGTCGGCTTATCCGGGGCACGTTCATCGCTTTACGGACGGATCGCGATCACGGGCCGGAGTGGGACTCGGAGTGGCAGGACCAAACACCGCAACAAGTCAAAGTCTTCCGGAGGAGTGTTCCGTTTTTTCCGCAGAAGCCGCTGCTGTTCTTGACGCAGCCATCACTCCTGCAGATCAACCGATCCTTGTGCTAACGGACTCACACAGCGTCATCCAGGCGCTGGAAGCCGAAGCCCCGAGCCACCCCTGGATACAAGCCATTACACGTTTTGCCCCACCCTCAACCGTTTTTACGTGGATTCCCGGGCACTGCGGTGTTCCTGGAAACGAGACAGCGGACAGGCTGGCGGGATCTGGTCCATCCGGACCCCGCTTCACCAGCAACGTACCACTCCTAGACGTCAGGCGTTGGATTGCGAATATCATCATGGAAGCCTGGCAGGAGGAATGGTTTCAGTCACGCACCACCCTCCTGCGAAAGATCAAAGAAACCGTACGACCTTGGCAAGACAGCCACAAGTACAAAGACCAGCGGATTATCTCAAGACTCCGGACCGGCCATGCGAGGATTTCCCACAATTTTGGTGGGACACCCTTCCACAAGGTTTGTCCAATCTGCAGCATCCCTGCCTCGGTGGAACACGTGCTGTGTGTCTGCCCAGAGTTTCAGAGGCTACGCGAACAACACCGACTCCCAGAGAGCATCAGGGAGCTACTTGGCAACGACCCCTCGACGTTGACTGCGCTGATTGCATTCTTGAAGGACGCTCACCTATACAACCAAATCTAGCCCTCTCGTCGTGGGCTGCGCTGTCCGTGTTCTTTCACCTTCCTATTTTCCTGCCGTCGGGGTATCTCTGCCGGACTGGGGCACTGTCTCTTACGGTGGAGCTCTACCTTGTTCGCGCATCCATTCCTCACCACAGTCCCGATGTAACTCCCACTTTACATTAAGTTTTTTAAAATGTTGTCTGTCCCTTTTGGTGGGTAATCAGAGCCAGTTGTACGTTATGTAATGATAGACTGAAACGCTTTCTTTCGAGGCAGGCCCTAAGCCTGACCCTCGATTATCAAATGTGATGAACTAGCCTACGGCTAAAAATCACAAAAATAAAGAAAAAAAAAAAAAAAAAAACATGTTTGTTGTTACAAGTGATACAGAGGTATCTTTTCTTTTTTAGTTGTTTGATTAATATAAAATTATTAATTAAATTTCCTATTCCTAGTATCAGAC